TACAGTCCAGTTTGTATAGGCCATCTCAGTTCATTCATATCTTGTAGGCTGGGGAGAGGATGAAATGAAAGCAGCCTTAGAATTAATCACAATGCTCTCTACTTTCCCACAGACCCATGCTTTATCTCTGTTGTAGCTATGTTATTCGTATGTTGGCCTTCCTGAATGCACTGTAATCTCCAGAGAACAGGGGCTAGGTCTGATACACGTCTTATCGCCACAGAGTCAAGGATGCGCTTTGCAGAGGGTAGGCTCTCCAAAAATGTGTTTAAATCAAAGAATGTATTCACTTGCTTGGGCTTCCTAATTACAATGAGTCAGCTCATTTTGTACCAATATGGTGGACTTCACCAATATGGTGAAGCTGGTGGACCTCTGTCCAGAGGTGCCCACACTAAAGATTGTCTTGGATGTGCTTCATTACTGTTGCAGGAAGAGACAGTAGAATAAGAAGTCAGAAACAGCAGGAGTTTTGTCTCAGCTCTCATTAATTACTTACTTGACCTTGGGCAAGGCACTTAAACTCTATCTTAGTTTCTTCATCTGTGAAATGGGGGATAATAATGACTGGTTTGGCTGTTTCCCATGACTGCTTTGTGTATCAAATGAGATAATATACTTAAAAGTGTTCTGAAAAGCCTAAAGCACTGCACAAGTATATTATTTTGCAAAGAAATCTTCCTTTTAATTCTTGCTTCCACAAACACATTATCACACACCTCCAAGTTCCTGGGTTATGTGGTGAGATGTGTGGAGTAGCTCAACCTAAGCTTGATAATACACCAGAATCTCTTCTTCAGCATCTATAGCATTTAAGTGATTCAGCCTAGGATTCTCCAAAAGACCTAGACAATTATGCATCTCTCTCCAATTCATACAGATATATATGCCCCTCATTCAGCATTTATTCAAAACATATATTATGAGCACTTATGTGTACTACTGTGTGAGGAGCTGGGGCAAAATGGACAACATAGGATCTCTGTCTTTGAGGGGTTTGGTAGCCTATGGGATCTGAGAGAATAGACTTGAGAACAAATAAGTGCCTAATTCTACATTTGTTTTGGGAGACAATTTTACCTGAGTTTTAATTAGTAAAGACATCTCTGTATATTTTTAGTTTTGACTAAAATGAAAACTAGTGCTAGCCCTTATTCATGTTCTTCTACTGCTAATGGTCTTTTGATTTTAATTGGGCCCCAGAGACTGAGGTTCTTTTGTTCATTTATTTCAGATGAAAGCTTGTGGGATCCCATTTTTCTTTGATTCAGTGAAGTTATGAAACTTTAAGAAATAGCAATAGCTAATTAGTTATGGGATCACCTGAATATTTTTCTGCTAATTTTTCATATAAAGTAGGATTTGCTTTGATTAGAGGCACTGTCCTGGGGAAGACCATTCCCCAGTCCAGTTGAGTAATTGACTGCAGAGTACATTTGGGGCTGACATCTTCAGGCAGATTCTGGCATTTCATGTCCTTGGCTGCTACTCAAGTTTTGAGGCACTACCACATGACCCCCTGGCTCCTGACAGGGATTAGGGAACTAGTCACCTAACTGCACACAGTAGAATTTCGGCTTAGCTTTGGGGAGAGCTCAACAGGAGAAAGTATATTTCAGTGCAGTTCCATCCTGCTAATCAGTCAGGGTCCTAAAGTAATCAACAGCTGTGGGGCTGCTCTACCTGAACGTAGCTCTCCTCCTTTCAGCTACATTGATCTCTTGCCAGTTTTATCTACTCTACCAAACCTCCTTTACCTTCTCTTGTATTTCCTATATCTGAGAATAGCCCATGATGCTCCAAGATACTGCAGTCATTGCTGATTCCTTGACCTACATTTCCTCTCTCATCTAAGCAATTTCTAGCCTTAGGAGCCAATGTCCATCTTTTCTGCATCCCTGCAGCTCCTGCCCAAGCTCCAATCTTGCCACTTTAGGGGACAGGCTCAGGTCTTTATTATTTGCCTGCCTCTATACTTGTTCCCTATGTCTGAAAAAGCCTTAGACCTCTAAACATGAGAAATCTCTTCTTTACCTGATTAATCTTTTGGTTCTTCAATTCTTAGTCCAGCTGTTGAGGTCTTCCCGAAAGTCTTCCCTGACCACTCCTAGGCTGGGACAGGACTCATAGTCCATCAGCTGTGAACCCACAACATTCTACCTGTCATACTGGATTTTCATGGTTGGTTACTGGTCTGTCTTTATTCCTCAGCTACTCACATAGGATTTGGCCCATGGTAATATTCACCAAAATGCTACGTGATGGGTCAGACTGACTTGCTCACCTCTCTCAGTCCTTGCCAACTTCAGTTTTTCCCTTGATTTTCAGCTCCTATTTTGTTTTGTTTTGACTACTTTATATGCATAGCTTCCTTCAAAACATGTCTTTAAAAACACCTCTTTGGTCATAAACTTCTCCTACTTTAATTCATAACCTCTAATCTTTATCCTCTTGTCCTTGTGGGAATGTATGCAGTCAGTTTAAAACTACAACAAATCCAGCAAAAGTTATATGTGAACATAATAATTGTTTTTCTTAAAACAGTCACCTTGGGAAACTGCACACCTATTTTAATTAGTCATAGCCCCAGTCATTTCTGGAGCCGATCTTTGGGGATGAGTACCTTCACATTTTTCTGAATATATTTTAATAGTGACAAATCTAGTCTTTGCAGGTGATATTTAAAATTTGTATAGAGCCAAGTTACCATGAACTATATTTAGTGAGTTAAGAGAATGCTCTAACTGGTAACTCTATGGGTCAACAACTAAAAAGTAATGTTATTATCTTTCTCTGAACATATTTGCACAAGGGAAATTCCAAAGCTATTTTGACTAATTATGTTATTTTTGAAAAGAGTTTCTAGCATCCCAAGGTGACTGCTTTCAATAATAGTACTTGCTTATTTATTGTAAAATGCTTATTCAAATCCAGTTTGGAACTTCATAAGCCTATAATCATACCGACTTGTACTTGTATAGTGTTGTTTTATATTCTAGTTCAACATCTATTATGTGATAGACACTGGGAATCAATAAGGCCATGGTCTTTGCCCATTAGGACCTACTAATTAGTTGAGAAGACAGAAATACCAACAGTCCTGTGTAAAAAAGAGATATTTTAATAAGATAAGGAAGCAGGACAGTGGAAAGACTGTCTGTGATGGGGAGGAATTTTTTACAGCATCAGCAAAGCCTTCTCAGGACTGAAGGACTAATGATGATTAGAAAGTTCACTAAGAGAAGGAGGGAAGGGGATGACAAGAGTCCTTCCAAACTAAGGGAACAGAAGGTACAGAGACTGAAACAAGAAGATATGTTTGGGGGAATCTCAAGTCATTCAATACTGTTATTGTGTAAAGATCACAATGGGGTTGGAGAGGATGAGAGATGGGGCCCAATGAAGTAAAGGCCTTGTGTTTACTGCTTTTAAAAGTTCGGACTTTATCCTGTAAGAGGCAGGGAGAGGTTCTGTGGGTAGGATTTTCCTTCCCAGTAGGATTGTAAACTCTCACATCCAATTAGTCACATAGGTTTGCACGCCCCCTCCCCTGCCCAAGATTGTCTCAGATCCATCTCTTCCTTTCCATTCTGACATTTACCTCATTAGTTCAGGCCTTCATCTCCCCATGCCTGGAGTATCTCACAAACTCCTGACTGGTCCTTGGGTTCCAGTTCACCTTTTGCTCCTGACAATCAATTTTACACAGGATTATCAGAGCAACTTTCCTTTCCATCGAGTCTCACTTTGGTTCAAAAGCCTTCAGTGGTTTTCTATGATCTGAGGAATAACTACTCTCCCCCTTCTCTGCTTGTCCTTCAAGATCTTACCAATCTAGTCCCAACCCCCCCTTCCCTCCTTGACTCCTGTCCCTGCAAACAGTGCCAGAACTCATCTACTTATTCCCTTATCTGTACCTTTGCTTTTATGGTGGCTGTCCCTTGGAATGTTACAACCACACAAAACTTTTTGCTTGTTCTGTTTTCGGCTGTTTTCTTTTACAAAGAGTAAGCCCACATGTACCCATGCTTGATCATATCCCCCACTCTCCTCCCTGGAAGTAACCACTATTCTGGTTATATTCTATTACTATATATTGTACGGTATGCATCCATAAATAATACATAGTATTGTTTTGAAAAATTTAAACATACGTAAATGATACACTTTATATTTCCTTTTGCCCTGAGCTTTTCACTGTCATTTTATTCTTGAGTTATCCCTATTGAATATATGAATGTAGTCTCTTTAATTGCTGTATTTCATTTCATTTTATAAATATACCATCCATTATTCATGGGTGGGATTTAGGTTGTTTCCAATTGTTGGCTTTTACAGGGATTCGCGGTGTCATATATGTCAGTTGTTGGCTTTTACAATGTTACAATGAATATCTTTAGCAAAACCTTCCCTGAATCCTGCAGGATTCTCCTCAAAAGTAGCTTGTGCATCCTGCGTCTTTAGTATCATCCCATGTGCTGAGCACACTGATACGCAAAGGCAGTTAAAGAAATATCTGCTAAACGAATGAATGAATGAATGAATGGTGTAGCACAGCCCAGCTGATGGCCATGTTCCTTTTCAATGGGCTTTGGTGCCTGAGCCCCCATTTCCTTCTTTGACAGCGCTGGTCCTTCTCTACCGCATTCCTCCAGCTGGCCCCGGAGTGTGTCTAAGTGTGGGTGTGTGGGGGTGATACCTATCTCACTGGAAGAGGTCTGTCTCTCCCGGCAAGTTCACGATCTCGGCAACCCTAGCGTCTGAAGTTCAGGGTCCTATCACCCAGCTCCTTCAGCAGAGGCCCAGCCCAGCGAGGCAGTCCAGCGGCGACCGAGTTAAGGCGCGTCGAGACCCGACGCGGGTTGGAGAAGGCTGGAGGGGCAGTCGGGGGACTCGTAGTAGATCCCTCCGCGCGCAGCTCGGGCCGGCGCTTCTTCCTGCGGGAAACCCCTGGGTGCCGAAGGCGGCGGGGCCGGGCCGCGGCGACAGGGGGGCGGGGTTTGCGGTGGGAGGAGGCGGCCGAGGCGGAAGGACACACGAGGCTGCTTCGCTGCACAGCCGAGAAAGTTTCAGCCAAACTTCGGGCGGCGGCTGAGGCGGCGGCCCGGGAGCGGCAGACTTGGGGTGCGGGGAGTGGGGGCATTTACGCCTGAGCTTCGGGGCACAGCGCGAGGCCGTGAGCCGCAGAAGCAGGAGGAGAGGAGAGAGTGGGGGACCCTCTGTGGGGACCCCCTCCTCATGTGGATCTGCGCAGGCGGCGGCGGCGGAGGAGGAGACCGAGAAGATGCCCGCCCTGCGCCCCGCTCCGCTGTGGACGCTGCTGGCGCTCTGGCTGTGCTGCACGGCCCCCGCGCGTGGTGAGTATCCGGTCGAGGGGTGCTGTCCCCTGCGCCGGGGCCCGCGCACTGCCGCCCCGGCCCGGCCGGCCACCTGGGGCGATCATTCTCCCCCCCCCCACCCCCTCCGTCCTCCTCTCTACGAGAAGGCCGGGCTCCGAGTGAGGCCCCTCGGTTCCCCAAAGTTTGGACACCGTCAGGGCCTCCCACCCCGCCCCCGCACTCCCCGCCGCCTCCTACGCCCCTCGGCGGGTGGCCCCACACACGCCTCCTCGGCTGAAGGGGGGCCGGGCCGCGAGCCTCAGAAACTCGCTTTCCCAGGCACTTGAGTTCGGGGAGTTGGGCTGTTTTGCCCTTTGGTTCCGCGTTTCCTGGGGTCGAGCGAGAGCCGAGTGCCGGCTGCCCGAGACGAACCCTCGCCGGCCGGGGACCGCAGATGGGCCGAGCAAAGGAATGCCAGATTCTGGCGTGGAGGGAGCGGGGGCAGGGCCTCCGAGCCGCTCAACGGCTTATACCTCCACTGCCAGACTTAGCTTTGCCAAAGGGAGGCACACAGTCCGGGTGGGTGGGTTTGGTTTGGATGGGGACAGGGTTTCGTGGTGCGCCTGAGTCCTGACACTCCGAATCCCTGGCCCCGATGAATCCGGTGTGTTTTGCTCGAGTCTTTGAAAGGTGGAGGCAGGAGTAGTAGGGAAACTGGTGTGGCTGCATGCTGAGCCACATGATTTAAAAATCTCAACTGCTGTTATTCTTTCCGAGGCGCTGAGCTCGGGCGCTGTTTCAGAGTCTGTGTCCAGCCCCAGGAATGTGGTGTGACGATCACCAACTCCTCCAACCTGGCAGCGGCATTTGCTGCGCTTTTGGCAAGGTTGGGGGTGGGGCAGGGGCGGGTGAGGAAAAGTGGATACGTTAATTCAAAGTGCTTCCTTGGAAAGCCTCTTTATGGTTGGATATTAGCCACAGTCTTTCCGAACACGGTTGGACCAAGGAAGGGGAAATCGAATCACGTCTTATCCATCCCACCCACAGTCTTAGATTCCGAATTTCTTCAGACTGTTTAGTAGAAAAGAGCTTGGGTTTTGGAACCCTCTGTAATCCTGGGTTCAAATCCAGCTCTGCTGTACTCACCAATCAAATGGGAATGAAATTACCCAGCTAATAGGATTAATTAAGAGAATGTATATTAAACCCATGGCAGTCAAAAGGTATTCAGAAAGTCGTTTCAGGGCAGGGCTGTGTTTTATTTTTTATGAACTCTGCTTGTGCATGTTTGTTAAACTGATAGGGATTTCTTTTCCTAGCCTAATCTGAGGGAAGATTTTACCTTTACCAAAAAAAGCTAGTACATGAGCTATGTCTTTTTGCAAAGAAAAGGTTAAGAAGATGATGAGCTTCAGAAAAATCTGCTCTTTGTTCATTGTTAACAGATAGTTGGCATGCCAAGAGAACAAGTTTTTTTGTTTTTTTTTTTTTAATCTTTTTATCACAGTGCTGAGTTGTTCAGCACCAACCAGATCCTTCTTGGAAAGCTCAAATTCCATACACCTCTGTGACCCTAAGAATTTCAGAAGTGGACCAGGAGACTGTGATGATGAACCAGAAATCATTGTTTCAGAAGCATTTAACGAAACACCATGGCATTTTTGCCTTTCCTTTTTCTTTTGAGTGAAAGCTTGACTGTAAGTGTAGATTTATGATAAAAAGGATTATAAACAATGGGCTAGTCTGAGGATTACAATCCTTGGTTTCTACCATTAACTTGCTTTAGTAAATAACTTAATCTTCATGATGGGTATTCTCCTCACCTATGAAAAAAACTAAAGAAATAATCTCCTTTAGAGAGTTGGAGGGAATAATAAATAGGATTGCAAAGTGATTTGCAAAATTAAGTGTTAAATAGTAAGCTATTTAGTAACATTGTTAGTAACACTGACAATTTCAATGTCAGAAGTTGGATTACTTTGACACATAGGGCTTCTCTCATTCTAGGACCTCAGTACATAGAATGATATCCTCTTTTATACTAATGTACTGATGAGGTATTGCTATTACCAGCTAGCTTTTAGGTGGACAAGTTGAGTGTTAGCCAGTTGCTTCAAAGGACTAGATATGGTTATTTTGATTTTTAGACAGGTGTTCTTCAGATGCTAAACTACTGCAATAAAAGAGATTTAAAAACCTATTTTTGGGTATAAATCTTAAATCTTTTCAGAGTCTAGCAGTGAAGGCTTCTTGAATCTTCTTAATCTGTTCCTGTGTTTTTGTCAAGGTACACACACTTGCAAATTTTTGAGTGTTCCTGTATTTGGGATTGTGGCCAGTTGTTAATTTAAAGGTCACTGAGTTCCTAAGGCAAGAAGCAGTCAGTCCATCTGTCTGATTGTCTAAACAGCTATCCAAGACCACCTCTTGTTCCTTGTTTTCTTTTGCTTTGTAATGGGAAGTGATTCCCTGGTTTTGAAGCCTGCTAGATAATTTCTCAGCTGAATTCTTCTCTTGCTTTAAAAAAAAATCACAAAGATAATTCTTTTTTTCTTTCAGATGAAGATGAAGTTTATCCTAAAACTATTTTCCTTTTCTCTTTCTTTATTCTTGTTCTTTCTGTATAATTATTCTTTTGCAGGGGTGGAGGGATGGAGGGAGGAGGAAGGAGAGTGATTATCTCTTGTCTCTCTCTTCTTTTTCCTGATTTTTTTTTTTAAAGATTTTATTTATTTATTTGACAGAGAGAGACACAGCAAGAGGGAACACAAGCAGGGGGAGTGGGAGAGGGAGAAGCAAGCTTCCTGCCAAGCAGGGAGCCCGATGTGGGGCTCGATCCCAGGACCCTGGGATCATGACCTGAGCTGAAGGCAGACGCTTAACGACGGAGCCACCCAAGTGCCCCTTTTTCCTGATGTTTTGATTTTTAAAAATATTTACCCACATCTCCTTGGCATCCTTCTGCCCTATTCCCACTCTACTGTCTCTTCCACAGGCTTCCTGTGGTATAGAGGAGTAACTTTTGGTTTACCTGAATTGTATTTGCTGACTTCAGGACCTTTAGAAAATGTTTAAATTTAGTGGGATATGCTTGGATGCTTCAGAGCAGCCTTACAATACATTCTAAAAATATCACACCCGCAGAAATTCTATTTTGCCCACAAAATTTGCATTGATCTAGTTCCCACTCTGATGCCATTCCTAGTGCTTCCTCTCCTTACCCCGTCCCCTGTAATAGAATGAAGCTTCATGTCCTGGCTACATCAAAATCAGCTGATAATCAAAAATCGGACTCAACACCCAGGGATTCTGATACAGTAGGTCTGAGAATCTGTATTTTTCAAGGTTTATAGTAACCTGTTGGAACCCACTGATAGTTCATTATTCTGCCTTGAAGTGTGTATAGTGTGTAAATGCAGTAGTTTAGCATCTGAAGAACATCTGAAGAACATCTTTCCTTCTTAATTTTAATAATTTCCAGAATTAATCTAACCTTAGTCAGCTATTCCAGTGTTTAGCCCTCTGATTATCAGATTTTTAAAATTGCTAACATAAAAGCTGTTGAGTATAATGCCATTTCTTCTTGTTCATCTGGACACAATAGGTTCCCATTTTCTCTTTAGAAGGGCTTCATATATTCGAATGATATATTATAATTCCTCTCCCTGATCCTTTTCTTCTCTGTTGTCTTTTTTTCCTTAAGCTTCATTCATATATATAATTTTGGACTCCCTTTATTCGTCCTTAGTAGCTTTAGAGTAAAAAATCCTAAGCCATTATTTGAATGAAAATATAATAAGAGATTTTACATTATCCTTATATTGTGTTTCTACTTGTTATTTAAGTGCTTTCTTTCTTGACATCTTTATCTGGATGCCACAACTTGAACCTTTCATTTTCCTCCTACTTTTTCCTGATTCTCCTTCTCCTCTCTTCTTCCCCTTCTTTGCAAATGACTTGAAACCAAAAGGTTTTATTTTCTTCTATTCTGCTCTTTTTATTGGTCTACCATATGTATAATATTTTGGAAAGATCACTGGACTAGGAGCCAGAAGACCAGCATTCTCCTCCAGGTCTGTATTTAATTAGTATTGTAATCTTGTGGGAGGGATTTTGGTCCTCCATTTGCTCAGGTATGTTGTCCATAGTCACTGAGCCAATTAGAATCAAGACTAGAATTTCTCTCGTTTGGTCCTCAGTGCAGTGCCTCCTCCACTCTCCACACCACTTCTATCTTTCGTACAAATGAACTCACGTACCCGAAAACACTTAGAACATCCTCAAGTGCTTATTATTCATGTATACTTCTTGAGGAAGAGAATTGTTTTTTCATTTATGCGTTTGTTTTTTTTTTTCCTAATACCCTTACCCTGTACCTGGCACAGTGCCTTGGCATCTAATAGACACTCAATAAATATTTGTTCAATTGAACAATTACTTTTTTTTTTTTAAAGATTTTATTTATTTATTTGAGACAGAGAGAATGAGAGACAGAGAGCATGAGAGGGAGGAGGGTCAGAGGGAGAAGCAGACTCCCCGCCGAGCAGGGAGCCCGATGCGGGACTCGATCCCGGGACTCCAGGATCATGACCTGAGCCGAAGGCAGACGCTTAACCATCTGAGCCACCCAGGCGCCCTGAACAATTACTTTTATTATTTTCTTATTCTAGACTACTGTGGTAATCCAAGACCGTTTTTGTTTTTTGTTTTTTGATAGTATTTGCAAGAGTCATTGCTTACCTTACATTTGGGGAAAAACCAAATTTTTCCCTTCCCCAGATGTTTTGTTTAAACCTGCCATTTTGAATTTCAGTGTGTGTGTGGTTCTCTCTCTTTTTTATTGTTTTTCTGATCACTTCTGCAAATCATAAAGGTCACTTTGACTTTGGAATTTAACCTCAAAGGCCCTGGCCACCCCCTGCCTCTCACTTGAGCTGTTTCTACTGTTTCCTGTATTACTATATTACTAGACCAGCAATTTCTGTTATTATGTTCAGAGTTGCCACACTCTATTGTAATTTGGTCATTTGGGGGATTAT